GATCAAAAAATAATAAGTCTCCTGTATATTACTTTTAGTACATATGCCATTTTTAATAACTTTAATTATTTTCGTGATTTCTTCATTAAGAAATTAGAATCAAATTTGTTAGAAGTCAATCATATGATCGCTTATAGATAATTTATGGAGCCAAAAATAACTGCTGTGAAAATAATACCAAGCAGAAATTAAAATGAGAATTAATCAAGATGATTTTGTGTAAATTTTCTGTCTCAGACTTTAATTTTCCTTGTGCTAATGTTTTGATCAAATTCATAAATAGCTAAGACTGAGTGATATCAATTTATCAATGAATCTTTTACACTAATTTTCTTTGTGATTTAACGAAATGCTTACTGTCTCAATTGACAAAATGTAATTTTTTAAATACAAAATCGGATATCACTTTAATATTTTAAAAATTGAATTTTTTGTGAATAGATGAAAGAAGCGAATCTGTTTTTGCGAATACTATGTTATGAAGTGATGGCTATGTAAATAACGAAGCAATAATTTGTTTGAATTTTCGTGGATGATTAATTAGATTTTTATGACATGAAAATTAAATTTGCAAAAATTTACAAAGCTATATTTTTGATTACTTTATATGGCTTATTTGTGTCATATTCTTGATTTCTTGGTAAGGATCGAGATGACTTAATTACTTGGAAAGATCACGTGATCTTTTTAAAAAGGCCGAAAACTTGATTGAAAAAAAATCAGAGTAGGAAAATATTGAAAATAATCAAAAGTTGCAAAAAGTATTGTAAATGTGGTACATCATATGGTATCCAAAGGTGAGAACAAGTGAGTGAATTTTTGCGTGAGGAAAAATTTAGGAAAATGTTACGCTAAGTATGCCTAGAAAATGATTAAAAATTCAGTTTTGCTGAAAAAAATTCTTCTACAGTTGTTGCTAAAGAAGACGATAAAGAAAGTATAGTACCACTGGATATTTTTGTCAAGGACGTGAATGATCACGCACCTGTTTTCTCGCAACCGATTTACAGTGCTACTACAAAGGAAGATATTCCATCAGGGCATACTATTCTCACTGGTGAAGTTATGATGTCAATAATAAGAGTATTTTAAATAAGTTTTCATTAATTTTTTTATATTTAAAAAAGTTTATTGGGTAATAATTTGGAAAAATAAAAAACAATGATAATTTTATTATTTCATATTATTCAATAAATTGATTTTAATTATTTGCATTGTTTTAAAAATTCGTTTGACAAATTATCCTTTCACGAACTAAAATTCAATACTGTATTAAAAAGTTGTTGTGAGAATTTAAAAATCTTTCATAAATATAATTTATTACATTTCAGTGCAAGCAGATGATAAAGATGATGGTGACAATGCCCAAATTAGATACCATTTGAGTGATGGCAATTTCACTATCAACAACCAAGGCGAAATATCTGCAAGAGCACGTTTAGATGCCGACCAAAATCGAGAACGTTTCTTCATTTATCGTTTCAATGTCACTGCAACTGATTCTGGCTCACCTCCATTGACTACTACAGCTGTAGTAAGTTTAATTTTTGCTTAACTCTTATTTTAAATTAACTACATTTTACTAAAATTCAATTGAGTGTAGTATGCATAAATGTTGATTAATTATTAGAATTACTTAATGAATAATTCATTTTTTAAGATACATATCCGCACGGAAAATACAAACGATGAAGCTCCAATATTCATCCCAAATAGAAGTTACCATGCTTTTGTTGCTGAAGATGCTCAAGGTGGCACACCCGTAGTGCAAATCCAAGCAATCGACCCAGATCGAGATCAGGTTCTATCAATCAAAAATATATCAAACTTGAAATTACCTTTTGAGCGTACTTTTGTTAGTAGTAGTTATTTTTGTTGCTCAAATAAGCTAACATACACATGAGGTAGTTTTTAGGTTTTTTATTCATTTCTATTGCCAAATGGTGAAGAAACTTTAACAACAAAATTGTTTGAAATTGATCGAGATACTGGTAAGCATTTTAATTGTTTTACTTTTTGCTTTATTATTATTGTTATTATTGTTATTATTATTATTATTATTATTATCATTATTATTTTAGATTATTGTGACATTAAGTCTTTGTTTTTTACTGTTTAGTACTTTCAATTACATTTTTTAGAATGTTTTCTTTTTTCAATCTAAAATTAGTCTCAAAATTAAGGATTAATACGGCTTGGAATAAATGTGAAGTCAGAAGATCTAATTTATGAAGAATCCCCTTACAATCTCACTGTAGCTGCACGCGATGATGGATCTTGTTGTGGCGAACGCAAAAGCCAGATTCATATGCAAACTGCTACAGTTTCCATTGGTAAATTTCTTAATTTTTGATCAAATTTTGTAAATGACTGGCTCATACTTTTTTGATGATGAATGCCTTGAAATCTGACTTAGTTTTGGCATTGTTATTATTATTATTATTATTATCGTGTAAAAAACAATTTTGTAAAAATACTAATAAGAGTATTATAACCTGAGTTAAAAAGAGAAACACGATTCATAGAATGAACTTTTAAAGACCGTAATTTTAGATATTGCGGATGTGAATAATAACAAACCAGAATTCCGTGATTGTGATACTTACAGTAAGATTGCCAAGATTGAAGAGGGTGATTATAAAGAAAATGCACCGGTCATCTTGAAGGTGTGATGGATTTGTTTGCTATTTTAATATTGATTTAAATAAAAAAGTCAAAAATCAACAAATATTTGATAAATTATTTGACTATTTGTTTTTTCAATTTTCCGAATATAATTTGAAAATGTGAGCTTTTTGCATATTGCAAATTTAAACTTGCAAAAATGTGCAATATTTATTCATGAAATGTATTTCAGTGATTAAATTAAATTTAGGTGATTGCTACAGATGAAGACTCGCCACCAAATGGAGAGATCGTTTATTCATTGTATTATGCACAGTCAGAATCACGCAAGCCATTTGTTATCAATCCAGAGACAGGTGAATTGAAACCATCACCATTTGTACGTTTTGATCGAGAGCAAAGAGCACAAGAAGAAGTTACTGTTAAAGTAAGCTTTTATCAGTTCTGAACAAAGTATTGTAATCTAGTATTATTTAAATACTATTTTTGCATCATATTATTATCAAATATCTCTTCATAAAAACTCAAAATTGCTAAAAATTTTTATCAAATTATCAATGATTTGCTAAGTTTATTTGTCAGTGTATCATATATTTGTTTTCTTTTTCATAATTTATGCAAAAATTTGAACTGAAATCACTTTTTGACAAGTTAAATTATAGGCAACAGACAAAGGTGAAAGACCATTGATTGGATTCTGTCAGTTTACAGTTCAAGTTCTCGATGTGAATGATAATGCACCACAATTCGATCGAGCATTCTATGAAACCTCAATTTCGAGATCAGTTGCTGCTGGGTGATAAACTTCAGCATACACATTAAGATTTCTTATCTTTCAAAATTTTGTTAACTTTACTTTGCAAACTCTCGATTGGTAGACAAGACAGCATTACATTAAATATAATATTCATTAGTTGTTATTTAAAGAAAAAACTTTTTTTTGTCAAATTGATAAAAGTCAGCAATCACTATAAAAATATTGCATTTAATACTGAAAAAATAAAAGTTTCAAAATAATAACATTAATAAATTTTTGTTGAAATCATTTTTCATTGCTATGTAAATTTAACTTTTTTCTACTTCAGCAAGTAAGTAAATTTTTTCTACTTAATAACATGCATATCTAATAATACTTGATATTGTGCATATTTGATTATACTTTACAAATATGCAAATCTGATTACCTTCAAGATATTCGGTGCTGACAGTTTTTGCGGATGATGCTGATGCTCCACAAAATGCGCGGATAACCTATTCATTGGTTGAAGATGCATTGGCTGGTAAAGAACATCGCCAAGATTTCAACTTCTTCCAAATCATTAACAAGAACAGCGGAGAAATCACTCTGATCAACCAAATCCCATCTAATGTTATTTTTTTCAGACATTTGAATTAATTCATGATTTTAAAATAGAAAAATAAGCAAAGAAATTGTTGAATGGAAGAAAAATTGTTTGCTTTAATAATTTATTAATAATTAAGCATTTTTATAACTTTATTGAATTTGGCTATTATTTGCAAAACTTTTTCAAGCTATGATTGTTGTAGAAAGATCGATTTGTTTTCAATGTGGTAGCTGACGATAATGGAAAACCATTCTCGCAAAAAAGTACTGTGCAAGTTGTAGTAAATGTTCACGAAAAACAACAAAGTGCCCCACAATGGCAAACAACTGGAGAATGTCAATCAATAATCACTGTTGACGAAGATATCGCGGTAAATACTGTTACAAAAATTACAACTTATTTAAATCAATAAATATCACAAAGATATACTCTTGAATTCTCTTTGCACTACTAATATTATTCCTCATTATGCTTTTAAAAACATTAAAAAGTTATGAATTAATTAGCAACTTTTTAATTAATCCGTGTGTTTTTAGATTAATTCAGTCTTGCTGCGATGTTTAGCGATTCCAGGAGATGGTTCTAAAAGTCCAATATCTTACAAGTTTGATATTTTAATTCAATGCTTTCTCGAAATATAATTATTAAAGTTTTAAAACTTTTAATTTTTATTGCCTGAAATCACGCAAATTAAATATGATTTGTAGAAGCAATAAGGAAATAATACGCAGTCACTTAGTTTAAGACATGCATTTGCATTGCATCTTAAAAAAAATTGCATTTCTCAATTGAATTCTATAATTTCTGTTGTGATAATTTCAAAAAATTTTTGAAATAACTTCAAATTTGTCAATAAATTAAATCTTACGTTCATTGAGAAAATTTTCACCAAAATATGTTAATGATAAGTAGCTATTATAGAATGGCAAATGGTGCTAGTCGAGGGACTAACAATGAAATGCATTTCCGAGAATTCTTAGAAAAATCAAACGGACGAGATTGGGTTGTAGTGAGAAATATGATTGGTTTAGACTTTGAACAACAACAAAATTATACTCTAACTTTAACAGCTATGGTTAGTTTAGCATTTTTAACTTGGAACTTATAGTAGCCATAGTATTGTTTAGCTTTGTTTTGTATTTGAAAAATGATTAAAATTTTATGAATCAGAAAAATTTTTTGATTTTTTTAATGTGTGATTTAGTAATTAAAATAGTATATGAAAAATTTCACGTATAAAAATGAAATATTCCAATATACAATTTGTACCACGTTTTTCTTTACGTGATCAATTTGTACAGTATTATGGTTGTTAACTTTGAAGCAAACAAAATATTAGTCTTTTTGTCTTTCTGTGCTAAAAAGTAATGCCAAGTTAATTATTTCCAGGATATGCGAAGTTTAGTGACATCAGATAAACAATTTCATGTCGTAATTCAAGATAAGAATGATGTAGTACCTCGATTTACTGTAGATCTTTTTACGGGTACTATTGAAGAAGAACAAACGCCCACAGAATTTCTTACGAAGTAACAATTTGCTTATTTTATAAGTAGCGATTTAATTTTTTTGGAGTACAAACTTATAATTTTTGTCACTAATTGTTACTTTATTTTATTATTCAAGGTATAGTGGAAACCCAATAACTGTAGTAAAGGCAGAAGATGCGGATTCACCTGGACCACAGTCAGAAGTTCGATATCAAATCATTGGGGACGGTGAAACAGGAGCTGCAAGATTATTCCGAATTAACGAAATTACAGGTGGTATATTTCCACTGGAAATTTTTGATCGCGAAAAAAATGATTCGTTCATATTCGATGTAGAAGCACGAGATAGTGCTCCTTCGAGTTTGCCTGGTGCTTCTGGACCTAATAAAGGTATCATCGTATCACTTTTTAATTTTCATCAAAAAAAAAATTGATTTAACAGTAGAATATAGATAAAAAATCTCATCTAAGTCGATAAAATTTTTGAAAGTGATGCATAAAGGTTACGTTTAAATTCATTTCTGTAAAATTAGATGATTTTTGTTTCAATTGTTGTATAATAATAGATTACATTTGTTAATTTTTTTAAACGATACTTATTAGCGTCTATTCATAATTAACTTTACATCGAAAGAATTATTCCGAATATGTAGCAAACTTTTTGATTTACTCATTGTTTTTCTTAATTTTACAAGCTTCAAATTCGATACAGGTTTGCAAAATGTAATCAAGAAAGTTTATTTGTGATAATTTTTGATAATTTTAGATATTGTCAAAGTACAAATTTTTGTGGCTGACATAAATGATAATGCTCCTTACTTTGAGCAAACTCGATATGAAGCTCGAATTGCTGAAAATGCTGAAATTAATCAAGATGTGATCACTGTTAAAGCTCATGATCTTGACCGATGTTAGTTCAACTTAGAAATGCTTATTTTATTCATTTTTATCTATAAAACCTTCAATAAAATTTTCAAGTGATAATAATTCACTATCGACTAATATAAATAATTGAAACATTACTTACTTTACAGTATCGAATCTCAAATATGATCTCTATGCTGTTTACGGTGGACGCATACCATTTGGCGTTCGAACCGATTCAGGTGCATTATTTGTTAAAGAACCGCTTGATTATGAAAAGGTTAGTTTTTTAATTTTTTTATCAATTTTCAAATATTCAGTTAGTATGGAGTCAAGGAAACTGATTTTTTTACTGTTGAGCATTGAATACTAAATGATTAAATTAGTTTTGAAAATATTTTATTCTGGTTGTACTTCATAGTAAAATAATATATGTCAACAATTTAGGAAAATGTGTACCACATGAAGTTGTTTGTGACTGATGGCAAGCATAATGCTACAACTGATTTGTACGTATATATTGATGATATAAATGATAACGCACCACAATTTGAGAAAAATTTATATGAGATCACAATTTTCGAGGAAGATTACAATGTACCAAAAACATTATTCATTGTAAAAGCAAATGATGCTGATAAGGTATGACAAATAATTGCTTTTTCACTTTATTTTACTGGAATTATTAAAAAGTAATACTTATTTTATGTAGTATTTGAAGCAGATATAGTGGCGTTGTTCTGTTATAAAATACTATATAATATTTAGAACAGTTATTACATTTCACAAATTTGCACCTCATTCATGATCATTCAAGCTTTGCAAAAAATATAAAGGTGGAAATTTTTTTGTTAAATTTCAACAATTAGATAATCTCGAGATATGCTTCAGAATATTTAGATAATCTCAGATGTACTTCAGATTTCGTCTTTTAAAATTGAAGCTTCATAATGAGTAAAAAAGAGAAGAGGAAAGGTTATAAACGTAGTTGATGCTGTTAGCTATCATTAAATACAATAAGTTTTATAGTAATCATTTAATAGTGAGTAAAAATGTTTTCGAATATGTTTTTTAAACAGTGTTTGTATTTGTTCCAGGATGGTTCTTCAAAAATTATTTATCGTCTCGAAGGTCAAGGAGTTGGAGAGTTCTTCCGAGTTGGCCGATATAGTGGTCACGTAGAAGCGATTCGACCGTTAGATCGCGATCCACCAGCAGGTGTACCTGTCTGGAAGTTCATTGTACAAGCAGTTGATGATGATGGACGTGGCTTGATTGGTTATGCTGACGTGCAGGTAGTAACTACTAAATATTATTTCATGCTTAATGTGCTTCAAAATGCTTGATTTCATATACATAAAAAGTTTTTAAAAACCATGTAATTGTCACCTTTAAAAATGCCAATTTTTAACAGTAGATAAATGCACTGACAAAAGACTCAAATTATAGCTTTAATTTTAGTTGCAATTGAAAAAGTTAACTGTGATTTCAAAAAATAAGAGTGAATTTGAGTGAACGAAAATTCAGTAAATCCACATATGTTCTTGCATGACTTTAATAACGTATATCTAATTTTCTAAGTTTCAGTACTTCAAAGATTTCATTTCTGAAGGACTACAAAAATGTTAGAGGTTAAATAAATCAGAAGCAAAGTAAAAAATAATCTAATTTTTAGGTTAATTTGAAAGATATAAACGATAATCCACCAGTATTTGCTGGTAATTTGCTGGGAATGATTGATGAGAACCGAGATCCCGGAGGTCTGTATATTAAGTCAAATAATTAGTAACAAGTTTTGGGTTAGAATATAGCAAAAATATTAAAGAACAAATTAAAATATAATTGTTGATTTAATTTGATTAGAACAGACATGATTAATTTTAAATAATATAATCGAGTTTAATTAAATCTATTCAAATCATTGCAAGATTAACAAATTATTTATGTGATTCAAGAAATGAATTTGAATTCATTATACCAGTAGAAAATTAACGCTTTGAAGATAATTTGTTGTGCTAGATAAAAAATATTTAATTTTATTACTTTAAATTAAAGAATTGTAAACACGCATTGCTTGCTTAATACAAAACAAGCTCAAAATTTGGAGAATAAAAAAGCTCTGTTATACTGTTAAAGTAATGCCAAGTTTAAAAATTTTTTCGTTTGCTTTTTAATTCAGTAATACTTAAAAAAGTTTTTTGATAAAAGATAAATGATAAATGAAAGTTGCAGGTGAAGGAGCATTTGTAATGACAGTATCTGCAACTGATTATGATGATCCTCGAACTGATAATGCTCGATTAGAATATAGCATTACGGTAAACAAAGAAATTGAAGGTGAACCAGTTTTTCGGATTATCCCAAGCAATGGAAAGATCTATGCCATGGTAGTTTTTTAAAGTTTTGCATTTCTGAACAAAAGTTTTTCCCATACCTTACAAAATAAATTGCTTAATTGTTGATTTGTAGCGTAAATTGGATCGTGAATTGCCTTCTGAGAAACAGTTCGTAATTGAAGTTCGAGCTACTGACAAAGGCTCACCACCACTTGAAGGTTAGATCTTTTGCTTTCAATTTTGATCAAAAAAGTTTATCATTTATTTATTTATTTTAATGAAAAAACCATAATCATAATTTGAATGAGATAAATTTGACCAAATTTGGTACAAAAATTTATGTACTATTATTTTACCTAACAGTTTTTGTTGAAAGTAATGCCTTAACGAGCTTGGTTCTTAATAGAAAGAATAAAAAATTTTTCAAGGAACTGGAAATGTAACCATCCGTGTTACCGATGTAAACGATAATGAGCCATATTTTGAAAAAAACTTATATTTCGGATCAGTTGCGGAAACTGCCTCTATCGGCTCCGCGGTCACTAGTATATCTGCTTTAGACAAGGATACAGAAGCAAGGTGAAATACTAATTAAGTAATTACAAAATTGTTTGAGTTTCAAAAATTTTTTAATTGATTTTACTTTGATTTTTCAACTCATATCTCAGTGAATTGTATAGCACTACTCAACTTTAGTGACAATTTATTTTCGTATGAATTGATGGATGACCATCAGTACTTTTACATTACGACGGAAGCTGATTCAAGCAGATCAAGTGTTGGAGTATTACGAGTTAGAAAGGTTGCCTTACACTTATTTAAATCATTTACTAAATCACATTTAAGTTTTGTATTTTTTTAATAGTAAAAAAAACTTTGTTCTATTATTTTTTTTAAATTTATTTTTAATTTGTCCTACTTTAACTTACAAATCAAGTTACAATTTAGTATTAATCTTCAGGTTTAGTAAAATACCCGAAGTTTTCAAGGTTTTTCAGCAACCGAACTTTTCTTCCGGTTTTGTGTCCATCCCAATTTTCTCTCGTAAATTTTCTTCAATCTTAATCTTCATATAGAAATATTAAGACCTTATCCTGTCCTCTTATCTATAATTGCTGACACTTATCCAGCATTACGTCTATTCTATGTTAAATTCAGTGCACTTCTGAAATCATAAAACATCCGCCTTCTGTCGTCCTTCAAATAAATTAATATTTTTTTGATTTTTTAAAGGAACAAACGCACAATTTAATTTAATATTTCAGGTAATTTTATTTTTTTGCCATTTTTTCCACAATTCCATCCACTTTCTATCGTCCTTCAAATTTTTAGCAATTAAATGTACGCCTTTTCTTAAAAATATTGCCTAAAATTATTGAGAAGAACTTGTTTGAAAGTTATGTTATCTTGCAAAAAAGCCAAGCAATTATTAAATTTTATGTAATTTCTTGCCTTAAAATTAAAACTTTTCTATCGTAATCAGCCGATTACAGTAAACTTTTCATCGTTCCTCAAAAATGGTAATTTTCTTTTAACTAAAAAATTGTCACGCAGTATAACTAATTTTTCAAGGCAGCGTTTCTTTCACTTTACTTTAAAGATTCAAACAAGTAGAAAGCTCATTTAGTTGTTGACAGCGCTGAGAAGGGCACTTTTTTGTTTTCGATCAGGAACTCTATTTGACCCCATACATCATTTTACTCCTTGCAAGCATTTATTCTCAATATTCTCAATGCTGTGCGTTTTATTAACTTTTATAGTTTTAATTTTTTTTTCAATTTTACTAAAATCTTAACTATATATGCTTAATCGAATTGTATGCAATTTTTTAGCTATTTCCAGAAGTTTTCAATTTCTGGGTTATAATTACATAAAATTTAAGTAAAACTCTAACGAAGTATTTAATTACATTTCACTTAATTCCTTTTTTTAATACTTGGTAGTAACTTATCATTTCTTAACATAGCTTGAAAGTCACTTATTCTTCATTCAATTAACCCTTACTACAGTATTAGTAAATCTTTTCACACTCTTAAAATGAAGATAATTTATGAATATGCAAATTTTCTTAAGTTAAAAACATTATTTGAATATTTTCTATAAATTATAACTTTTTAGGATTGAAATTTGAATGGGTAATAAATGAACAGCTAACTTTGTTTGCTGTCAAAATAAGTTTCAGTGCATTTTTTTGCGTAATTTATTTCTTAAATTAGTTGCATAAAAGTAAGACTTAGTATTTTATAATTATAAAACTAAAACTGAGAGCAATTTCATTGTTATGCCTCCAAAAATGTACGAGCTTAGATCTCTCATAAACTTAGTCGATTAATTGAGCAGTAGTTATTTTGCTAGCATGAAAGTTCCCTTCTACATTTGTTCTTCAGTTGCCACACACAATATCACTGCAAATCCGCGCTGCTCTAAGCAATTTCTCTTGAGATTTAGCTGCTCGCCCATTATAGCTATTAGAGATTTATGTATTTATGTGTTGGTAACAATTTGTGTATATTCACAAATATGTCATATTTTGTCTCATACACATTATCGTTGCTATATGCTTTTTATTATTTATGAATGTTTTCTTCAAAATCTCATGTTCAAATAATACTTTCAGATGAATGCGCGCATTTCTTGTCTGCTTGTAATAACATATTTTCTTCATTATTGCTTTTTTTTTAAAGTAGTAATTGTAACGTAACGTAACGTAACGTAACGTAGCATAACACATCATTTTATGACTTTCATTAATGGTTGTATTATTAGAGTAGCAATATTAATATTAACTTCAGAACAAATATCACTTCACTTAGTGTTTAGCTAAGTTATTATTAAAAGCTATAATGTAATGCTTTTAAATCGATTCAACACTTAAGCAAAATTCAGATTTTTGCATTATGCATATTTACTGAAAGACTCATTAGAGTTTTTTCTTATTTTCATACAAAGTAAGAATAGATTAAATCTCAGAATGCATAATTGATTCTGTTTGAAGTCAAAATTTATTTAATTAATATGAACGCAGTAAAAACTAACTTTTTTCTATTTTCATCAAAATTTTTGCGAATTCGCAAAAGTTCGCTAAACTCCTCAAAAAATAAGCAAACCTTTTGTAGACAACAGTATTGGCTTAAATAAATTAAAGTTACTGTTTTAATTTTGATTATTTTTTGTAGAACAAAATAAAAAGTATCGCTCACTGCTAGCTATTTCATTTCTTGAGAGAAAATATTTTTCAACGAGAAAAAGGAGATTATTTTTCAAAGTCATCAGACGGCTATTTTCCAATGTCATATTATTTTTTATTTGCATAAAATAGAAAAAAGGAGCAGAAAATTTCCACAATTATCTCTTAACCTTTAGCTCTCTGAGATAAATTTGCCTAAAATTGCTTCTAATCTTCGTGTTAAAAAGTATTTAAGCAGTCAGATAGATGCTAATGCAAAGCTTTTAATAAATTTTTGAGTAATCTAAAAATTATCCAAATATTTTTTGCTTCTTTTTGAAAATGAGTGTGAAAATTAAAATAGCTTGACCCCTAGTTTGTGACCTCTTCTTTTCTTGCTTTTCATTTCTCTTGCTAATACACTCAAATACCATTTCTACATAATTCTTCTTTTCCTATGCAATAATAAACACTCATCGAAAGGATAAGTAAGTATAAGGTACTTTATTCTTTGAAGGCTTCCTAAATTCTGGTACCAATTAAGAGCCATCTCAGTTTTGACCATGAATGACCCTTAATTAATGTAAGGAAGTAAGGAGCGGTCATTTCTGCTCTTCTCTTCAAAATAAATATCATTCATTAACTCAAATTCTACCATTTTTGATGCTTGAAACTTAAGGATTATGCAAGCTGCCTTAAACTTGTCAACAACAGTTACCATCTTCATTAGAGGTCTAGCTTAAGCTTTTTCAGGAAACAAAGTTGATGCTTTATTTTCTCAGATTCGTCTCCTTTCTCTGTTTCAGATAATACATCCATACATCCACATGCACACACATACACACACACGCACACACACACACGCACAACACGCACACACACGCACATAGTAACACGTGCACACATTATTCAATTCCAACTTGAATTGTAATATAAAATACATTTGTTCTAACATACAGAAAGTGATAAATAAATTGAAATTATTGATTCTCCTTTGACCTTCTTTTATACGACTACAACTTTTACCATTCACGTCTGCCTCATGTACAACATGTACAATACAAATTACAGAGTTCAGAAGTAAATAGTAGAAATTAAACTTTAAATCATTTAAATTTATCCAGAAAAAGTCAAAAAAATAACAATAAAATAGTAAGAACATTGAATGTAAAAAGATATTCTAGGAAAGTTATTAGTTATTCTGAACATAATACGTTAAAGGGGTTGTATACGCTTGCATTCCTGTTCCTAATATTCGTATTTATAGTTTCATGTACCTAAAATAAAGTATACTGAAAGGATTGGTTCATGAATACTTGAATTACTTCTTCCAAACCATCCTTCTAGTAATTTGGGTTTGTGAACTCATCGGTACTGAAGTGATTTTGATATGGTCATTACAGCTAAAGTAGTACGTTTGTTCATGAAAGTAATCTTTAAAAAACTGACCACTACCTTTTTTGATATAAAATTATTTTTTTATTTTTTTTCATAGATTTTTTTTTTCTTGAAGTAAAATTGTAGATCAAATTGTAATATATTCAATAATAATACCAAATGAGAAAGTAATTATTGCACTAGACTATCGGTACTTACAGGAATTCAAGAATGTTTTCATAGAAAACTGGTAAAATTTGTCTACTGCCTGTGTTAATGCTTACATTCTGAAGTCAAATTACAGCGTAATTACTTTGTGACAAAAATAGCTTATCTATCTGACCCTTTTTGAATACTATTCAATTGATAGTTGGAATTAAATTTGAAATTATTGAATTCTAATTTTAAAAAAATTTTCAAGTATACGTTTTTTAGATCTTTTTTTTTTCAAAAATTTTACAACAAATTTATTTATGGAAAAAAATTTTCACAAAGAAAAAAATAATCTATGAAAAAACAAAATTTCTGTAGAAAGAAAAAAACCAAAAACTTCAGTTAGATGCAAAACCAGTTCGGTGCTATTAAAATTTGTCTCTTCCCATAACATCAGTATTCTCTACACCTGTCATTTATCTACTTCTTTTAAAAGTCAAACTTCAAATGAATTATTTTTCGCAAGTTACAGAAGGCTACAAAATTTTAATAGAAATAGTCTGAGAAAGAAATTATCTGAGGTAATTGATCAATTCCAAATTCATTTACTGTTATGAATTGAATTACGGAACCAGTTCACCATTCTATTTACTACCGCTTTTTTCATTTTTTTTTTGGTACCAAAGATGGTAACTTTTATCTTTTTATACTGATTTTGGTATTTTATTGGCATTATTAGTAGTGCTGAGTAGAGATAAGTATAGTACTCTAAATTCAAACAATCGCCAAATGTGTCATAGTAAATCATTGAGTGCGCATATAATTGGAAAAAAAAATGGAAACAAAAAGCAAAAATTGGAATATTTTGTTTTTTTTATTTGAATAAACAATTTTCAGAATCTTTCTAAAACAGAAAAACAATATTACTAAAGTAAGGAATTATAATATTTGATCTTTAACGTTTATAATACAATTTTAGACTATATTTCTCTGAAATATGGCAGTCTGCGCAAATTTATGCAAATTTAATAATCTCAGTAAAATCGTTCTTATATATCAAATGTCAGTATTAAATAGCGTAAATGGCTGAAAAGTATTATTAATGCATGCTTTGGAGAAAATTCAGTTCTCAACAAATTATCAAGCATTGCAATTAATATATTATCAAATGAATTTGTTAAAAGGCTGTGACTTACTTGAGATAAAACTTTGCCTGGGCTGATTGGTTATTTTATAAAACATTATCGGTGAGTATTTAATTACTTATTAAA